ACAGTATGAGATACTGCATCGGTCTATGGCTGAATGGGATTCTCTAGGATCTAAGGAAAGGGAGCCTGATCCAGCCTATATTAAGATGGATGATTGCTGGTTCTGTTCCTCATTAGCTGCTTGACTTTCCTTATGCAGGAAGGACTTAGCTTCTTCTTGATGAAGGTGGACTGGAACCCACCGGAATCCCTCTGTTCTTGCTGCATGCCCTGGTGGACCCACTACTTGCTCCTTCCTGGACCCTGAGGGGAAGAGGTTGAACCACCTGTTTCCTTTCCTCTATTCTGGGCATTCTCCCTCTGTCTAAGGGTGCTCTAGGGATCCAACAATGGGAAAGCTAAGAGCTGGCCCGGTCCAGCTTTGATTTCTGAGTGGGACCGTCATAGATAGGTTGACCTGGGCACCAGGGGGAGGGATGGATGTTCATTCTCCGTTGAGGAGGAAATATGGATTCTCTCAAGCCTACGCTCTAGTTTAACTATAGACCTTAGTAAGGCCTGGAATATTTACTTCCAAACTGAAAACTGGGGAGGTGCAATCTTATTAGTAAGACCCATTGCCAAAAAAAGAGATTCATCTGATAGTACTTTATGATTTTACAAAACATTTCAAAGACATCTTCTTACTTGCAGGAGGCAGGGCATGGTAATTTCTGTTTTACGGATGCAAAAACTGCAGTTCAGATTTCGTTAACCTTTTTAAAGGAACTTACGGGAAGGATAGGACTAGAATCTAAGGTTTATCACCCCAAATCCCAAACTCTTTCCCCTATTTGGTGTACTCCAAAGTATGACTGGTAACAATGCTGAGATGGTTACAGAAAAATATTTAAATATAACACTTTTAAAAAATATATATTTATTTTACATGATACTGTATATTTAAAAATTTTATTTTGATGTGATTTTCAAAAAATAACTACCATATCTAAACTGTTACTTCAGAGGTATTATTACTTAGGATGAGGCTAAAAAAAATGTACATAGGTAAGGTGCAGATAAGCAAATATGTGAAAATGTAATTTTATTTCACTTTATTGTTTAAGATTTTATTTATTTATTTGAGAGCGAGCGAGCAAGCACGGGGGCAGGGAAGGAGCAGAGGGAGAGGGACAAGCAGACTCTGTGCTGAGCTGGAGCCCAACGCAGGGCTCCATCTCATGACCCTGAGGTCACCACCTGAGCTGAAATCAAGAGTTGGACACTCAACCAACTGAGCCACCCAGGTGCCCTGAAAATGTAATTTTAATAAATGAATTCGGGAACAACTGAAATATAACATGCTTCCATCCTGAGTTTCCACTTGACAGCTTTTACTGTAATTATGACACCAGAAATACTGCAGGATATTTTCAGTGAGAAGAAAATCAATAATAAATATGTGAATGACATTTTAAGTCCTCAAAATACCTAAAGCATATGTAAGAAGGACTAAAGGAGGTGACATTTGATCCTTGTATATGCTTCTGAGTATCAGGAACCCTCTGCTTTATAGATAAACATTTTTTTATTTTATTTTATTTATTTATTTATTTTTAAGATTTTATTTATTTATTTGA